AAAGTCTATATAAAGATGGGCATTTTCCTATCAGTTCTGAGTTTTTCTTTGCCATTGTAAAATAGAGAAAATACCAATTATTTCTGCTTTTGTAATTATTGTGAGGTTCAATTAACATGCTTGCCTATAAAAGTCCAGTATAAAAGTAAGGTGTAGTTAAAAATGGAACTCCCATTTGACCCAGTAATCCCACTTCTAGGACTATATCCCAAGAAACCAGAAACACCAATCAGAAAGGATATATGCACCCCTATGTTCATAGCGGCACAATTTACAATAGCTAAGATTTGGAAACAGCCTAAGTGCCCATCAGCAGATGAGTGGATTAAAAAACTGCGGTACATCTACACAATGGAATACTATGCCACTATAAAAAAGAAGGAACTTTTACCATTTGCAACAGCATGGATGGAACTGGAGAGCATTATGCTAAGCAAAATAAGCCAATCGGCGAAAGATAAATATCACATGATCTCACTCATATGTGGAATATACTGATCAACATTATTTGATGAACAAGAATAGATCCAGAGACAAATGATGGGGGAGGGGGGAGGGTTAGAGAGCAACCAAAGGACTTGTATGCATGCATATTAGCATAACCAATGGACACGAACACAGGGGTGGTGGGGGTCAATTGGAAAAAAAGGAGACATATGTAAAACTTTAGACAAAAAACAATTAAGGTGTAATTACTGTCATGTCATTGAAGTTCAGATGTATTGATTGTAAGGTACGTTAGCTTATGTATGAATCACTAGGAAAAAATGCTGCCAATTCAACTTTGACATGCCATTGTTTATAAAAGAACCAATTTTGGATACGTTAAAATACAAAAAAAAAACTGATCAGATATAGTATTATAAATTCTATTAAAGCATTTGACCCAAAACACCATAGGAATTGGAATTTGAAATTCACTTATAAATATTTAAATGCAATATTTTCATTACTAAATTGTGGCTGGTGGGTTACACGTTTATTCTGTGATAAACATTTATTTATAAAGGGATCTGTTAGGGACTTGAAGTTTGATAAAAAGCTTTCATGTTTCAACTGATAAACATTAAATAAACATTTAAAAGTCTTCATGTTCAACTGAAGCATATATTAGCCTGGGCACTAATCCCTCCTGCAATCCAAACTCAGCTTTGCTATAGTCACACGCCTTGTTCATTAATCCTCAGAGATGCCATGTACACGGAATAATAACCCATAGCCAAGTAGTTAAACCTGGCAGGAAGCTAAGAAATACCTATTTAATAGAAAGGTTCACTGGATTATAGCAACCTTTTAGCTGGAAAATGCTGAAACATTAAAAAAAGATATAATAGATATGCTTCCAGATATTATACTTTGGTTGTTACCCTTCTACCTGACAAGCATAAGAGATAACAATACGTGGCCAGCTGGCTGACTTCTTACATCTTTATTAGAGACACAGTTAAAGTAGGTTTAAAAGATTTAGTGAGTTTTTGATTAGCAATTTATGAAATTCTATGAGGCTTTTCAAGATATCTCATGCAATACCTTGAAATAACATGAGTAATTGTAAATGTACACGATAATGAGAGGAGGGAATGACAGTACCTGCCGTTTAGTAAACTCTCAAGACGTATTGGTGGCAGAGCTTGAACACTTCACAGGAGTTTTGTGCTCTAATAGAAAGGACTGCAATTCAGCAGACTTGGTTCTAATTGTGGCTCTACTGCTATTCTCTAACCCTGGGCAACTGAAGTAATCTGTTTATGTCTCAGATTCATCCTTGTTTAAGTGGCCTTAATAGCAGCTGCACTACCTAATTTATAGGGCTACTGTGGAGGGGCGGTTTAAGCATGTTGAAAAGTTGCAAAAGCTAAACATATAAACAGGCATCATTAGTGAGTGACACAGAATTAACAGGTGGGCTCATTTCTGCCCTGTAGCAGAATGAAGTCAAGGGCCAACTTTTTGGCCAGTTCTCTTTAAAAATTTCCCAGTGTGGTAGTCAGTGATAAAACTATAGTCTATATTGTTAAAAATCTTGATCAATTGTTTTAAAAAAGCATGTCTCCTATTCTTTCAAATAGGCATGACAACACCTCAGATATTATCTAGTAAGAGCACTTAAAACCATGGAAATTGGGCCAGTCAACACAAGAATTCTCATTTTTTAAATACTCTAACAAGGAGCCAGGAAAAAGGATTCTAGATGGGACCCACAGACCCCTGTGAACTATACTTCAAGGCCATTGTAATCAAAACAGCCTGCTATGGGCATAAGAACAGGCATATATATCAATGGGACACAACAGAGAGCTCAGAAATCAACCCATGCTTCTATGGTCAATTAATATCTAACAAAGGAGGCAAGAGACTACAATGGAGTAAAGATAGTCTCTTCAATAAATGGTGCTGGGAAAACTAGACAGGCACATGCAAAAAAATGAAACCAGACCACCAACTTACACTACACAAGACTGAATTCAAAATGGACAAAAGACTTAAATATATGTTGCAAAAACATAAAAATTCTAGAAGAAAACATAGGCAGTAAAACAGACATCTCTTGTAGCAACATTTTTACCGATAAGTCTCTGAGGGCAAGAGAAACTCTGAAACATACACAAATGCAACGACATCAAGTTAAAAAGCTTCTGCACAGCAAAAATAAAATCAACAAAATGAAAAGAGAACTCACTGAATGGGAGAACATATTCGCCAATGATATATACGATAAGGGGTTAATTTCCAAAATATATAAATATACAATTCAACACCAGGAATACAAACAATCCAATTAAAAAAATGGGCGAAGGACCTGAATAGATGCTTCTCCATACAGGACATACAAATGGTCAACAGACATGCAAAAATGCTCAAGGTCACTAATTATCAGAGAGATGCAAATAAAAACTAGACCTAACATCTGCCAGAATGACTACTATCAATAAATCAATAAACAAATGCTGGCGAGGATGTGGAGAAAGAGAACCCTCGTGCACTGCTGGTGGGAATGCAGTCTGGTGCAGCCACTGGGGAAAACAGTATGAAGTTTCCTCAAAAAATTAAAAATGGAACTGCCTTTGACCCAGTGACCCCATTTCTGAGAATATACCCTAAGAATTCTGAAATACCAATCAGAATATATGTAACCCTATGTTTACAGCAGCATTTTTTATAATAGCTAAGACCTGGAAATAGCCCAAGTGCCCATCAGCAGATGAGTGAATAAAAAAGCTGTGGTACATTATCAATGGAATACTATACGGCTGTAAAAAATAAGGAAGTCTTACCGTTTGTGACAGCATGGATGAACTTGGAAGTATTATGCTAAGTGAAATAAGCCAGTTAGAAAAAGACAGATACCATATAATCGCACTAATACGTGGAATATAATGAACAAAATAAAATGAACAAAATGGAACCAGATGCATGAATACATGGAACAGACTGGCCAGTGCCCAAGGGGAGGGGAGTGCGTATGACTGGATAAAGAAGGTGAAAGAAATAGTTAAACAACATATATGCATACCCCATGGATACAAACAGTAATTTGGTGAAGGCCAAGAAAGGGGTAGGTGGGGAAGGGAGGAGGTGGACAAAAGTGAGGGGGAATGGGGACTCCTAAAATTATGTCAACACTAAAATTTGTTTTAATAAAAAAAAACACTAAAATAAAAGCTGCATACATCTTGGTTGCGTTTGCTGTAACTAATGCATAATGTCTCATAAAACACATTCAATTAATATGGAACATGAGAGTATTTAGATAAACAGTAGGTTGCAATGTAGTTGGATTGTGGGAAAAGCACAGAGAATGAAGAGAAAGCTTTACTAGAATGATAGTACCATTTCAGCACGTACTAACATGCATATTTCCTCCACAGATAATTGAAAACTGAATAGCCTTGGGAATGGCTTGGCTTACATCTCAGAAAATAAGTTAGTTTAGAAAAAAGTGAGCAGCATTAATAATGTCCCATTTCCCAAGGGGCTTGTTTTAGGACAGGTTAGCCTAAGCTACTGGAAATCCTGTCCATTGTCGAGGGCTCCACTAAGCACGTTTATTGCTTGTTATCTAAATAATAACACATTAGAAACATTATTTTTAAATGGTCACCTTTGCACCTCAACCTGTTTCTTACTTCATTTCTCTTCATATTACAACTGTCTACTTTCCTTACATAATAAGAAATGTCAAGGAATTCCCCAGATGGAGTTCTTTAGGCTTAAAGGGGAAAATGTAGGAAGCCAGTTTCAGCAGTGTCATACTTATCTATCCTTTACATTAAAACTGTGGCATACTTGTATTTTTAACAAAAAGCAGATGCTCTCCTGGTACCTTGAAATAACTTTAATCACACTAAGTACTGAGGCAGTATGGCTATTTCACATTCCCAAACAGGCCTAACAGTTCAGGCCTGAGCCCGTATGCAGACGCTGCTGCCCTATGTGACAGGGACAGTATAGTCAATTAAGAGGGCCCTAGGGAATTGCTCCCTATTATGTGAAGGTGAGTTGAAGATATCCTAATCTAACCAGTGAATTCTCCAGAACCTGTCTCTCAATCTTAGAGTGAGGTCACTAAATCTTATTCTGGTACTTCCTGTGACTTCTATATCCCAGGAAATGCTGCCTTTTTGCCTTTTCTTTTTCTTAACACCCCTTTTCTTTCTTATCTTCCCAATTCAGTCTGCCAAGAGGCTAGACATTTTAGCTCCCTATTCAGACCCGCTGTACAAAATGCCACAAGGTTGTGTGATCCCCACCACACTGGGATTTCATGCAAGTTTCCCTCACTGTCAGTCACATTTTGTTTCTGTATGTTTCTTAAAAGAGCAGCCATGTTTAATATTGTGAACTATGATGTGACTCCTCTCCCCACCCTCAAGAACAGTGATAAATTTCAGAGCACGCTCAGCAGAACTGGACTGCATTATGCAGAGTACACATGTTCATCGCCAAAACTGTACTCGCCGGAATGTATGCAAGCAGAATGAATTGCTGAGACTTCAAAATCCCCGTTCCTCAGAACTGATTTTATTAGCCAATGTACACCAAAGATGGGTGGTAAAAGAAGTATGGTTTTCTTGCATCACTGAAGCCCTATGCTGTTAGACTGTAGCTTTCCAGTCTCTGCTTAAGCCTTGCCAGCCATGTGCTGCTGCAACACCAGAGACACAGCTTTGCAACCTGTCACCTCTTCCGGCAGGCAGCCATCCTGGTCTCGCAGAGTGGGGTCCGCGCCAGACTGGAGCAGCAGCTCCACGATGTCCAGAAACTCACAGGCAGCAGCTGACAGGGAAAGTGACAGACATGAAAACAAGGTTACTCAGAGACAGAGAGACCGGACTTCAGCAGGAGGGTCACGTGCTGGGCTGTGAGGAATCCAGAACGACGAGAACCCTTACAGTGGCTGTAGGGGGATCTGGCCTCAGAAGCAGAACTGTGCCGGTACAGTGGACTTGTGAATGTTAGGAAAATCAAATTTACTTTTTTGGTTACCCAAAAGCAAACAAAGAAATACACTTTAAATTTTATTATGATTAAAAAAAAATCTTTTGATTTTTTGAGAGAGAGAGTAAGGGAGAAGGGTGATAGACAAAGATAGATGAGAGAGAGAAACTGATCAGCTGCCTCTTGCATGCCCCCTACTGGGGATTGAGCTCGCAAACCCAGGAACGCTGAGGACTGGCTGCTGTCTCACAGAAACAACAGAGGGTCAAACGCAGAGGCTGGGTTTCAATCGCACTGGACAGGGTGCCTGGAAAGCCACACTAAGAAGTTTGGAGTTAATAAGCTGGGGATGGCATAATTTGGCTTCTGTATTAGGATGATCATTCTATAAAGAGTGACCTGAAAGTCTAGAAATTTGTGGCAGCAGACCTATTAGGAGATTGTGGTAGTTCTTTTAAGGGGCTTGACATTAGCCAGTGTTAGCAGAAATATAAGAAGGGACTGAAAAAGAGAGCCAATGAAAGTCAAGGAGAAGGACATAGCAAAGTAGTTAAAAAATGTCAGTGTACACTAAATTTAATAATTAACGAAGCTGATATGTTATGTTTATAGACCCTTAAACATTTAATTATTTATATTTTGTAATTTTCTTTTTTTGTGGGACAAAAAACATGTTATTTCTAATATGTTTATAGGTTTTTGAAATGCTCATAGGCTCAAGGCCTATGATTATAATGTTTACTAAATAAAATGGCCTGAGTATTTCTACATTTGATATGAAACCCAGACACAATAAAGAAAATAAATGTTAAATTTGAACGCATGGAAACCTAAAATTGATAAATTTGAACACATAAAAATTTAAAACAGCTATACCATACACACAAAAACACTATACATATACATAACTGGGGAGGGACCGTGGGAGACACGCTCTAGGGCGTGTCTGGCCCGTCTTGCCCAGTCCCAATCCGCCAGACTCTAGCAGCAAGCTAACCTACCAGTCGGAGCATCTGCCCCCTGGTGATCAGTGCATGTCATAATGACTGGTCAAACGGTCGGACATGTAGTTTATAAGGCTTTTATGATATAGGATCACAATCCTATCTAATAATAGAGAAACATGGTAATTAACCGTAACTTCGCTACCCGTCCCATTGGCTAATCAGCGAGATATGCAAATTAACTGCCAACCAAGATGGCAGCCTGCAGCCACGCAGCTGAAGCGAACATGAGGCTTGCTTGCTCCAGTGACGGAGGAAGCCAAGGTTCCCCGCCTGCCGCAGCCAAGCTCTGAGCTCCAGATGCAACAATGTTGCAATTATAGAAGCTAAACAAACCCAGAAACCTGCTTTCAGCCGCCAGCGGGCTCAGAGCTTAGAGCGCCAGTGATGGCAACAGAGTTTCAATTATAGAAGCTAAACAAACCCAGATACCTGCTTTCAGCCAGCCACAGCCTCAGAGCTGGAGCCGGCTCTCAGCTCCAGTGACAGCTATAGAAGGTAAATAAATCCCAGAATAAAAGAAAAAGAAAAAAAAAAAGAGGCTGGGAGCTTCAGTCGCCCACCAGCCTGAAAACGGCCCTCAGCCCCTCACCAGGACTGGCCAGGCACCCCCACCCTGAAGGGGGTGTGACCAGCTGCAAACAGCCATAAGCCCGTCATCCAGGCTGGCCAGGCACCCAAGCGGGACCCCCACCCTGATCCGGGACACACTTCAGGGCAAACCAGCCGGCCCCCACCTGTGCACCAGGCCTCTATCCTATATAGTAAAAGGGTAATATGCAAACTGACCCTAACAGCAGAAAAACTGGGAATGAATGGTCACTATGACACACACTGACCACCAGGGGGCAGACACTCAATGCAGGAGCTGCCCTCTGGTGGTCAGTGCGCTCTCACAGCAGGGAGCTCTGCTCAGCCACAAGCCAGGCTGATGGCTGCCAGTACAGCGATGGTGGTGGGAACCTCTCCTGCCTTCTCAGCAGCGCTAAGGCTGTCCGAATGCAGCTTAGGTCTGCTCCCTGCTGGCAAGTGGGCATCCCCTGAGGGCTGCCTGGCTGCCAGAGGGATGTCTGATTGCCAGCTTAGGCCCAATCCCCCGGGGAGCAGGCCTAAGCCAGCAAGTGGTCACCCCCGAGGGGTCCCAGACTGCGAGAGGGCACAGGCCAGGCTGAGGGACCCCCTACCCCCGAGTGCACAAATTTTTGTGCACCGGGCCTCTAGTTTATATATATAAAAGCCTAAGCGACTGTCCGACTGTTAGCACGATGACGCACGATGACCATCAGGGGGCAGACGTTCTGACTGATAGCTATGATGCGCACTGACCACCAGGGGGCAGACACTCAAAGCAGGAGCTGCCAAGCTGTGGTAATTTGGCAGCTGCAGTTCTTGGGTGACGCACCTGGAGCCAGATTCCAGGGTATGTCACCTGAGAACCACCCTCTTGAAATCCGGGACCCCTCTGGAGATGTCGGAGAGCTGGTTTCAGCTCATCCCCGCAGGCCAGGCCGAGGGACCCCACCTGTGCACGAATCTGTGCACTGGGCCTCTAGTTTTATTATAATTTACTACGGGCCCAGTATACAAATTTGTGCACCTTGAAAGGAACTGTGGGCTGTGAGGCTGCGGTGGGCACAGGGGCAGGTCTTGGCCCATCCTCCATGCCCCCTCCCGGACCCTCCTGCCGCAGCCCCCAGTCCCATCTGCCCGCAGCCCCGCTCCCATCGCCACTGCTCCCACGCACTGACAGCGCTGGCCCTGCTTGAACCTGCTGACGGTACAGAGTGATTGGGGCCGCCACCAGCAGCAGATGTGAGTGGGGCTGGCGCCTTCAGCGGGTATGAGGGGTGGCTGCTGCCCCAATCGCCCTCAGGAGCAGAGGGAGGCTGGCGGCCCCATTCGCACCCGCTGATGGCGCTGAGCACTGGCAGCGGGTGTGAGTGGTGGCTCTGGCACTGGCTGCGAGAGGGGCCGGTGCTGGCAGCAGGTCTGAGCACCAGGCGGGACCACGGTGCGGGAGAACAAATAATTTTCAGTAACCACCAGAGGCTTGCCCCGATGACAGCGACTGGCACCCTGCCTTGGTCTGGTGCCCCCGCTCACCTGCTCCACCATCCCGCCGTGGCCGATGCCCGCCATGTTCTGTACTCTGCCGCCTGCTGCTGACGCCCAAAATGTTCCGTGTACGCCCCCTGGTGGTCAGTGCATGTCATAGCAACCAGTTATTCCGCCGTTTGGTCTATTTGCATATTAGGGTTTTATAGATATAGATTATTCTTTTTGTATATTGCTGGGTTTGATTTGCTAACATTTTATTAAAGATTTTTGTGCCGAAACCGGTTTGGCTCAGTGGATAGAGCGTTGGCCTGCGGACTGAAAGGTCCCAGGTTCGATTCCGGTCAAGGGCACGTACCTGGGTTGCAGGCACATCCCCAGTAGGAGATGTGCAGGAGGCAGCTGATCGATGTTTCTCTCTCATCGATGTTTCTAACTCTCTATCTCTCTCCCTTCTTCTCTGTAAAAAATCAATAAAATATATTAAAAAAAAAAGATTTTTGCATCTATATTCATGAGTGATACTGGCCTATAGTTTTCTTTTCCTAGGGTCTTTTTCTGGTCTTGGTATTAGGGTAGTGTCGGCCTTGTAGAATGAGCTGGGCACTGTTCCCTCACCTTTTATTTTCTGGACAGTTTGTGTGTAGAATTGGTATTATTTCTTCCTTAAACATTTAGTAGAATTCATCAATGAAGCAATCAGGTTCTGAAGATCTTGATGTGGGAAAGTTTCTGGCTACAAACCAATCTCTTTAATAAATGTAGGGCTATCTAGGGTACCTATTTTTTTTTTAGAGAAATAGTTTATATCTTTTGGTAGTTTGGGTCTTTTCAGAAATTTGTCCATTTACGTTATCTAATTTATTGGCATAAAATTGTTCATAATGTTCCCTTATTTGCTTCATAATATCTGTAGAATCTATGTTGATATTTTCCTTTCATTCCTCAAATTGGTATTTTCTTTTTAAGACCTTTCAGTTTTATTGAACTTTTTAAAGGTTTCATTGATTTTTCTCATGGATTTTTTTTGGTTTTCTATTTTAATGATTTTAATGATTTCTTCTCTGATCTTTATTATTATACTAGAGGTGTACATGGGTGGGGTCCCTGGGCCTGGCCAGTGATCAGGGCTGATTGGGGCCGTCTCGCCCAGTCCCAATCAGGCCTGATGGGGGGCCGACCGGCCAGGGAGGGACCGCAGAGGTTGGCCGGCCGGGAGGGACTGCAAGAGGGTTCCAGGTTGTGTCCGGCCCGTCTCCCCCAGTCCTGATCAGCCAGAGCACAGCAGCTAGCAAAGCTAACTAACTGGTCCTCTGCCCTGTGGTCAGTGTGCGTCATAGCGGCTGGTTGAGAGGTCGACTGATTGGTCGGACACTTAGCATATTAGGCTTTTATATATATAGAAGATTCCTATGCTTATCTTGGACTTACTTTGTTCTTTTTCTAATTTTTTTAAAAGGTAGAATCTTAGATCATTGCTTTGAGACCTTTATTCTTTTCATTAAAGTATTTAATTTCCATCTAAACACTGCTTTTAGCTGCATTCCACACATTTTGATAGGATATTTTCATTTTCATTTTCATTTAGTTCAAAATATTTTCTAATTTCCCTTCATATTTCTTCTTTGACCTATGAATTATTTAGCAGTATATTTAAATTTTTTACAATTGGGGATTTTCCAGATGTGTGTGTGTTATTAATTTCTAATTTAATTCTGAGGTGGTCATAGAGCAAACTTTGTACAATTTCTTTTACATTTGTTGAAATTTGTTGTATTG